CTAATGCTGTCTGTGCTGATTAATACTGTTTGATGTTAAAAATAACTAGTAAATCTCAGAGCTGTGCTTTAGTAGAATATCCACATCTCAAGGGAGAGAGTGCGGCTGCTGGATAAGGGTGGGGGGGAAGTTACTCCTCAATAAACATATGTTTGGTTTTTTTTCAAACTAGCAGGGTGCTAGTACTATACTTACATTCTTAGTAATAATAAAAAATTATATTTTATTACTGATGGTGAGATACTGAAAAGATGTATTTATGAAAATGTTGCTAATATATTATACTCTGAAATGCATTATAATTGTTTAATTTCTAATATTCTCTTGCCTTTACATATAAGATTCTGCTCATGGTTGTTGTTTTGTTGTTGTCTCCTCTAAGGATACCATATTTATGAGCGGTACTTACACTGCACTTGCCTTAACAACAGCAATCTAAACCTTGAGATGTGTGATCTTGCATTGCTCAAAGACGGGAGCAAATGAGAGATGAAACTGAGAACCCTGAAGACCAGGGTGGTGGAGGCAGTTTAAATAACCATTGGTGGCCAAAATCCATACAGCATATGTACAGCCTGTATGACCCAAATGGGAAAATAATCAGATGTTTAGTGCTTTTTTAGTATAATTTATTGAGTTCCTTTAAAATCTGTATCCAGGGCCTACTTGAATGGACATATAGGTTTTAATTGGCAGCATTAATAAATGGAAACAAAACTACAACTATTGTCTGTCTTTGTTCTTTCCCATTTTATTCATGACATATGCACTGTGAGGGGTCCAACTTCCTCGCTGAGTGGGGGGGAAATCAGTGCCCTGATTTTCACCATCAGTGCTTTTTTCTCATTGTCTCAGTGCCTGGCCAAACCAGAATCCTGCAGCTGGATGTGCCACTGGAGCCAGCTGTCCAGCTTTGGCTTTGGTTTCCAGTCTAGGCATCACCAGATAGGAGAAGGCAGCAGCCCATTCCACTAGCCCTGCCTACCCAGAGCCTGTGTTCCTTAGGGGAGCTGAGCTGTGGGCTCCTTCCCTCCCTGCCTCTGCACAGCCCAAGGGAAACTGGGCAAGCACACTTTGGGGGAAGTGGGATGGCAGCGGTGTTACCAGCTACAGACGTTAGCCCAATTTGGTCTCAGATGATAGCTTGCTAGTAGTGCAGACAGTTTAAAATGCTGTTTGCACTAATGGTATTACAAGCTTGACGTAGAACAAAAACCTGACAGTAACAAAAGAAATGTTTCTCACGGGAAATTAAACGTTCACCTACACTGAAGCGACTGTGTTAATACCAGAGGTGTAACTGCAGCGTAGCGTGCCAATTTGCATCAAGATTGGTGTGCTAGTTTGAACTTGGGCTGGTGTGATCCAGCTAGGGACTCCACGACGAGGCTGAGTTCATAGGACATATCCCCCTGAGCCACCATCTTCTGCCTTGTTAGGCATACTGTTACTCGTCTCATTACTCTGACAGAGAGCCCTGCTACTGCTGCCGAGCCCTTTAGCAGAGCTGTTCCCCAGTAAAGGTCTGTTCATCACCTGCTGTTTCTGAGGGTGTTGGACACCATTAGCCTCCAACACTGCCATGGTGGCTGCAGTACCCTGCAGCCTCTGACACAGTACGACAGGTGGAACAGGTGGCCGTGGTGTTCTGGTGCTGTGTGCGCAGAGGTGTGGGTCCCCGCTGACAGCACCCGAACCACCAGCTGAGCTGCAGCTTGTGTCTGGGCTCACGGCATGTGGAGCCTGTCTCCCGTGGAGCTCATCCTGCGCAGAGGGTGGTCGCTGAGGGTAGAGCCTGGCACTCTGCTGGCCCGGCCTCCCCCAGACTGAGTCAAGGGCACCCAGAGGGCCTTCTACTGAGAGAAAGGCGGGCAGCAGTCCACGTGAGGTAGCTGCCCTGCTGTGTGGGGCAGCCATTGAATTCAGCACTGAAGCAGCCAGTAGCACTCCTGCTCCTGCGGTCACTTCATGTGTGACCAAGCCTTTATCAAAAAAGCTTTTCCGAAGCCTGCCTTGGTCCTGTGGGCATGCGGGTACCCTTCTGGGCAGACAACCGGCACCGCGGCTCGCTCACCCCCGGAGGGACGGCCGCCTCCGGGACCACACTGACGCTGAGGTCGGCTGAGGGACCCGCGCGTGCAGCGGCAGGAGGCGGGGCCGACCTGCCTCCCAAGGCACGGATCCCGCGTCTATTGGAGGGCGTACGCCTTGGGCGCAGCCAATAGGGACGCGTGTCGTCCCCTCCCTCTCCATCCCCTCCCATAGCTCCGGTAAGCCCGAGCGGAAGACGAAGGCGCGGCGAGCCGTTCCCCGCTCTTCTACTTGTCCCTCCCTTCTGATCACCGATTGGCTGCGCCACCCAGAGCCCTGTTATCCGATTGGTGGGCGGGAGCGGGGCGGGGCTTGGGGCAGCGCGGGATCTGCAGAGGTGGCTGGTGGGTGTGTGCGTGGTGCGGGTCTGGGTGTGTGGGGGTGGCTCTGCGGGACCCCGTCGGCCCCCGTCCTCTGTGGGTTCCCTGCTTTCTTCCCCCCCCCGCCTGTGCTTGCAGGCGCCGGGCCCCGGCCCGGACGCGGTTGGCGACAGCGGGCGTGAGGGGCCTCGCTGCGCGCCAGCAGCTGAGCCCACCCGGGCAGAACGCTGAGCCCCGGCGATCCAGAGGTGAGGGGTCCCTTGGCCCTGGTGCGGCAGAGCGAAGGCCGCTGGGAGCCCTCAGGGATCTGGTGTCGGCTTCCCCCCCCTCCGGTGTGGCGGGGGTTTGACCTGATGGAAGCTGTGCGGGTGAGGGCTCGTGCGGTAGCGGGTTTCTGGCCGCTGGGCGGCGTCGGGCTGTGCGCGCTCCGCTGGAGCGGAGGAGCTGGGCCGCTGGCGTGGTGCCCTGCTGGGTTCAAGGCCTACGGGCAAGCCTGCTTTGCCCTGGTTTGGGATTACAGAATCATGGAAGGGGTTTTAGAAGTTTCACCCCCCCCTGCCATGAGCAGGGACACCGCATACTGGAGCAGCTTGCTGAAAGCCCTGTTCAGCCTGGCATATGTGTTCATATATGCATGAACGTGGCTTGCAGGTAGTTACTTGCCCCTCGGTTTGCTGAGGCTGAAACTTGCGTGCCAGAGATTCGTTACTGTCAGTGCTTTGGTAAACCCACAACTTCAGACACTTACGTGTAAGTATGATGTCCACATCTGGCAATGGGTTTGGCTGTTGAAGAATGACTGACTATATGTGTACACATTTGGCTGTCTCTTGGGGGAAAATACTGAAGCTGTGAGGACAACTAATAGAACAGGGAGAGAATGTGATACTGGAAGATACTTGCAAATTAAAATCAAACTGAAGTTTTAAACTGGCTACCAGTGTTTACTTATGACCTTCCCTCAATGCTGTGAAGATGATTATTAAATCGTTACTTTGCAGGTGGTGAACTTGAGGTTTTCTATTCTGAATGATGCATATCTATAGAAATATTTCTTGGGAGCAGATGCCCGATACTAAACTTTTTCTGAATTTAGCTTTTGTGTTTCACAAGATGTTTTTGATGCAACAGTTACAAAAAGGTAGCGTGCACAGGGACAGTTATTTAGTATGGTGTTAGAGAAAAGAAAAGGCTCAGCTCTCTATCTCCTGTTCACCTGTTACTCAGCTGCAGATGGGTTATGGTGGGATTGTGTGCCTAATTCGGTAGGTGCAAGCTGGACTTCTCACGGTACAAAAGTTGACAGTGATTTTTCAGAGGAAGTCTTTTTTTTTTTTAATTAGCTTCCTGTTTAATTGCACTGAATGTACAGAGAAAAGGTATTTTGACTTTTCTAAACAGCACTACAAAGTTTTGATGCAGTCCCAAAAAATCCAACATAATTTATCTCCTTATTGTTTACCACATGTGTAACCCCTCCTGCCAAAATCATATTGTGCTCTCTGTTGTCCTAACACCGTTGCAGACTTTCTGGAAATGAATAGGGAACACCCTCCCTCCCTTCAGCTCTGTCTCCCCAGTCTTGTATGTACATTACACCTCTGCCTTAACCTGTGCTCATACATAGTCTGTAGCTGATTCAGGAGAAGACTGCAGATTGATTTGTGCTTTGTTGGAAGGGTTGCAGAATACAGTGTAACAGGTTTTGTTTGAAGTATTCTCTGACTGGAGCATCCTAGTACACAGTGAATTTAAGAGAAAGGAGAATTTTACCTGTCATATCCTATGTTGGGCGCATGTCCCATATGAACAGATGAGAAGATCAGAATTACTGTGTGTTACGAGCTTTCTACAAACCCTGTTGAGGCGGTGATTAGTGACTTGTAATTTTGCCTGTGCCTGTGTCTCTTCTGAAATCATGAATCCTTGACATTACCAGAAATCTCTCTGCACATGAGACATTGCAGAGAAAGACTTCTTTGAAAATATGTTATAAATATGAGCATATCTTTTCAAGTGTAGCAAAATGTGCCTTACCAAACAAATGCCATCTTTCCTGTTTCTTTAGGTAAAAAATTGCTGAAGGAATATAAATTTCCCTTTCTAAAACTGAGAAACAAGCGTTGCTATAAACACACAAGAGCTTTGTGTCTCTAAAATGTAAAATGGAGACATTTTAGTATGTAATAAATGGAACAGTTTTGAACTTTTGCTCTAAATCTGTAAATATTATCTTAATCTGAAAGTTTACTGCATTCAGGGTTATTCATTCCACTTTTACCTCCCTTCAGATACTTTGCATATAGTTTCATTTATTAGCTTCCTTGTTTCATTTTTATTACCATCACTGCAATAGATTTTGTTATTCTGGTGTATAATCTGTCCTCTGGACTGCGCTGTATTCTGTCAAATAAGAGTGAAAGCACTGGTGATTGCATTTAACAAGGCCAAGTTTTGTTTGTCCATCTGTTACCATTCTTTGCACTTTACTGACATCCCTTGGAGACTTCTGATTAGAAGCAAACTCTCTTTTTTGTGGTGGCTGTGTTTTGTTTGGGATTGTTGTTCTTTTTTAGCCTTTCTTTCTTTTGATCAAGGAAGAAAAGAGAACCCCAGTCTAAATGACTTTACACCACAAAGCTGGTTCCTTTTTGGAAATGGTAAAATGCCCAGGCTAAGTAGCTTACAAGATCTACTGCACTATTTCTTTCAATTAAAATAATGTATGTTTTCAGGTATATGTATTTAGGAAAGGGGGAAAGCACCTAAAGCAAATGGTAGTGCGATGCAGTGCATTTTCTAACAGCAGGTATTTTATGTGTATTTCAGTGTCGGTGATGGAAAACCCCAGCCCCAGTGCTGTGCACCTGAGTGACTGGCAGAAAAGTTACTTCGCGATTACCTCTGGCACCTGCACGCCCGGGCAGAAGGCAGATGAATACCGTGCCAAAATCCTGCGTATTCAGTATGCATGGGCAAACTCCGAGATCTCTCAGGTCTGTGCTGCCAACCTGTTTAAAAAGTATGCAGAGAAGTACTCTGCGATTATTGACTCTGACAACATAGAGACTGGCTTGAATAACTATGCCGAAAACATCCTGACTTTGGCAAAGTGTCAGCAGAATGACAGTGACAAGTGGCAATCTGCCCTGACAACAGACAATGTATTTAAGTTAAAGCGTGTGCAAGAGAGGATGCAGGCTGGCAAAAGTTTCCAGAGCTCTCAGATGGCACCAGCAGATGCCTCTGTTCTAGCTGAGAAAGGGGTCAGTGCCTCTGCTGTTCCAGCCTTTCCTAAACTCAGTGTTTTCAGCAGTGCCAGAGAGACTGAGCTCTGTGCTGGCTCAGCAAAATGTATGAGTCAGGGACCAGATCTCCTTGAGCATCCTTCATCTTCAAAGTCTCTTCAAAGCAGTGTGCTTCCTGTGGCCAAAACATCAGATACACTTCCTGCCTCTTCAGCATCCTCAAATGAGCAGGTTAATGCAGGTTTCCAGGCAACTCCACTATTTGGAAACAAAGAAGTGACAAGTAGTAGTTCTCTGAAAACATCAGGTAATTGTCATGATGGACAGAATTTGCTTCTTTCTAATCAGTCAGCTGTACCTGCATGGTCCACGAGTTCTGGGAAAAGAAAAGCATTTTATGGTCTGGCTGATGAAGACAGCACAGCAATTCCTAACCTTGCTCCATGCCAGGCTTACAGTAGTACAGAAACCAGTAGTTTCTCAGGGTATAGAAACAGAAGTGAAGAGGGCAGTGTTCCTGGTTTTAGAACTGCAAAAGAACAGCTGTGGATGGATCAGCAAAAGAAACCTCAAAGCCTACCACAGCGTGCACCAGTCTCATCCTACGGAGGCATAAAAAAGTCGCTGGGAGCAGGCAGATCTCGGGGTGCCTTTGGCAAGTTTGTTCCTCCAGTTCCAAAACAAGATGGAAATGAAAATGGAGGAGCACAGTGTAAACCTCATGCAAAAGGGTCAACAGATCCATCACTGCCTGTAGATGAGCGACTGAAGAACATAGAGCCAAAAATGGTTGAACTCATAATGCATGAGATCATGGACCATGGGCCTCCGGTCAACTGGGATGACATTGCTGGGGTTGAATTTGCTAAAGCTACTATAAAAGAAATAGTAGTCTGGCCTATGCTGAGGCCAGACATCTTCACTGGGCTACGTGGTCCTCCTAAAGGAATTCTTCTCTTCGGCCCTCCGGGGACTGGCAAGACTCTCATAGGCAAGTGCATCGCATGCCAGTCTGGAGCAACCTTTTTTAGCATCAGTGCCTCTTCTCTGACTTCCAAATGGGTAGGTGAAGGGGAGAAGATGGTCCGTGCTCTGTTCACCGTGGCACGATGTCAACAGCCGGCAGTGATCTTCATTGATGAGATTGATTCCCTGCTGTCCCAGCGTGGAGATGGGGAGCACGAGTCATCGAGAAGAATAAAAACTGAATTTCTGGTCCAGTTAGACGGGGCGACAACCTCCTCAGATGATCGTATTCTGGTGGTCGGAGCAACCAACCGACCCCAAGAAATTGATGAAGCTGCCCGAAGGAGGTTGGTGAAGAGACTGTACATTCCTCTTCCAGAAGCCTCAGCGAGGAAGCAGATTGTTACCCGTCTAATGTCGAAGGAGCACTGCTCCCTAAATGAAGAGGAAATTGAACTCATAGTTAAGAAATCAAATGGGTTTTCTGGGGCAGACATGACACAGCTCTGCCGAGAAGCGTCTCTGGGCCCTATCCGCAGTCTTCAGTCCCTGGACATTGCAACCATCATGCCAGATCAAGTACGGCCGATTGCTTTCCTGGACTTTGAGAGTGCCTTCAGAACTGTGCGGCCCAGCGTCTCCCCGAAGGACCTGGAGCTGTATGAAACCTGGAACCAGACATTCGGCTGCGGTAGATAAATTGCACCCTGACAGTTTCACAGAACCATTTCCTTACCACTGTCATGTATCAAACCCAAGATGATTTAGAGTGTCTGCACTTCTTTTTGTTTCTGTCTTTGAAATGTATCTTCTTCTGTTATGCAGGCAGATACCTGGGCCCTGGCCTGAGGTTTCACCAGCTGAAACGACCATGAGAAACTGCTGGTCATGGTATGAGAAACTCTAAACAGTAACAGAGTGAGAAGCTGACAAAAGTTACAGATAGCTGCTGTGAAAGATGGGCAGATTTCAATGGTATGTAAGGAGAAGGTGGTCAAACCTCACAGAGAATTGGAGGGAGTACTTGGGGGGAATCTGGCAAGGCTGCTGTGCTGTATAAGTAACACTGTGCAAGGCTGAGGGATCACAGCTAACGTTACCAGAAATAGCAGTTTGGGGTAGGAACGCAGCAAAACTGGGACCAGTGGGGAAAAGTAGTTCAGGGTGCATTGTCTGGGAGGAGATTGGAGCAGAGGGAGGAAAGGGTTGAGGTGGGCATGGGAAGAACATGCATGGAAAATAAAAAGGGGGGGTAAAAGGGGTTGGGCCCCATGTAAGCAGTGCTCTTGTCTGACTGAGCCCTGTGCCATATCGCTGCTGTCTGCCTCAGCTTCTTATTAAATACTTTTTCTGATGATTTTTGGCCTGACCTTGCTTTCTGCTCTGCATCTGTGTGTGTGGATGTGTGTTACTGGGAGGTCTGGGCACCTGCAGCTGGAGAAGAGACTGTGGGCAACAGGGGCACCAGAGTCGGAGGCCGGCCATGGGCTAGCCAGCGTGTTCACAAGCAGCTGCTGTACTGAAAACTTCACTGACAAAACTTGGTAGCAAGTTTGAAGTGGGACCATGCAGGAAAAAAAACGCATCTGCAAAGAGCCCAGACACAAGCCAGTGGCAGGAGAAGAGGCTCAGCGTGTTGAAGGCTCTGTAAGCATGGTGTCTTTGTGAAGCTGGAGGGTGCATGTCCTGCGTGTCTCACTGGTGCGCTTCAGTCCTGGGTGGCTGGAGGCGAGGGATGAGATGGGATTGTGTTGTTGGATTTGTGTGAGTGCATTTACCATGTATGTGCATGTTGATAAGGTTCTGCTCTGTGTCAGTGTGTGTTTATCTGTTGTTTTGGATTAGGGGTTCAGCCTTACTCCTGGCAGGACTCGCAATCAAAACCAGTGGCAGCTGCATCCATCAAAAGAAGATGAGAGAAGCTATAGTTTGGGGGTTCTAAAGAAAGCTGGAGAGGGACTTTTTACAAGGGCAGATAGTGATAGACTGAGGTGTGTTGGCATTAAACTGAAAGAGGAAAGATTCACACTTGATGTTAGGGAGGTTTGTATGATGAGGGTGGTGAGGCACTGGAGCAGGTTGCCCAGGGAAGTTATGGATACCCCATCCCTGGCAGTGTTCAAGACCTGGTTGGATGGGGCTTTGAGCAACCTGGTCTAGTTGAAAGGTCAACCTGGAAGGTGTTCCTGCCCTTGATGGGGCTGGAACTAGATGATCTTTAAGGTTGCTTCCAGCCCAAACCAGTCTATGATTCTATGGGCTCTAGTGTCTGGGAAGGAGAAATCCCATGTCCCAACATCAGCTGGGTTCCACTGCTTTTTGAATAATCTTCATGTGATAATAATAAAATTCACATTGACCTTGTATTTGGTGTTCTTACCTAAGGTCTGACAGAAATAAAACAGCTTTCATTGACAGAACCTGTCCTTGCCCACTGGCTGGACAGAGCTGCCTCTGAATGGAAAATAAATTGAAAGCTTTCCTTTGGATTCTTTTGCCAGTGTGGCAGAGCTGGCAGCTGTGGTGTCCATGCTTTATTTTCAGTTTCTCTAAAGCACTTTTTCTCTTGGGGAAAGGCAGAGCTTAAAAGCTACTCTTACATAGATTCTTTAAAAGAATGGATAAATGCTGCTCAGCTAGCACTGTTTTAAAGCCATTTGGGAGCTACAGGAGCTGTGACACTACAGATAACCTTCAATTCAGAATGACATAAAAAACTTGGAGTTTCTTAAGAGCTCATCCTGATTTAAACATTAAAAAATCAGTTCTAATGTTTTTAGGGAAGTCCGGTATGTATTAGAAATTGTTTTGCAGAGATGAAAGAATTCAGGTATGCAAATTTATCTTGATTTTAGGAATAGCGCAGGTAGAATAATTAGATTATTTTGTGAGAAAAACTGTGATGGGGTCCAAACTGATTGACTTTTGGCCACTTGGGTAAAGATTATGAGATTAAATCTGCTTTTACAAGTTTAGTATTGGAGAGCTATAAATAAGTACTGAGCAAGATTTTTGCTTTCTCCAAATCTCCCACCCTAATGAAAACACATTTTTTAAAACCTGTTTTTAGGCAAGTGAATAAAAAACCCAGAGAATTTTGTTTAGTAAAACTTAAAGGTAGCTGAAGGGTAGTAAACCCCTTCTGTATGATGCAATAATAACCTTATTTATGCTGGAAATTATCCTGGTAAGCCACGTGAGTGCACTGTGCTCATCTGTGTATCTGAATACCCATATTTTAATGGAAGTGGCCCTACTGAAAAGACTGGTGAGAGTGCACACAGTGTCAGGGAATAAAACGCCTCCCAGGATGACAAGGGCTGGGAGAGAAACACTGCGCTCCTGTGTTTGTCTCCTGCAAAGCAGAACTTGTGAAAGAGATAAAAGGTAGAACCTCAGTGCCAGACAGGAGTATCCTTCCTCTTACTTCAAGGCCACGTTTGACAGGGCTTTGAGCAACCTGGTCTAGCATGAGGCATCCCTGCCTGTGGCAGAGGGGTTGAGATTAGATGATCTTTAAGGTCCCTTCCAACTCAAACCATTCCAGGGTTCTTGTGTTATTCGTTACTTGCGCTCTCTTGAGTTACATGAACATGCTTTTGTTTTAGAAAACATGTAGAAATAGTAAAAGCGACCATCACGTAAAGTTTATTCTTTTTCACTTTTGGTAATGATGCAGGTGATATGACTGTCTTCAGCCATCTAGCAATATTCAGGCTTTGCTGCAGGACTCACAAGTCATCAGGACTTCCAATATTAGCCCCACATGTATTTCACAACCCACTATAACAGTGCCACCAAACAGAATATTAGATTGCCAGGAACATAATTTCACAAATACCGAAAATTGCACAGACATAGGGCATGATTGTAATTTAAGGGAAATGGTGCAGATAAATCCACTTTAATGGATCTGTTTAGTGAATGCAGAAACCTATGTCCTTCATTATTTATTCTTTTTGGCTGGCTGAACTTTGCAAGAACAAATGCAGGACTCTCCTCTGGTTTTGTGGTTCAGCAACGTTTGGTTCACAATCTCAGTTTCTCTTAAATAAAGGTAAATAATTGCAGTCCTGGAAAAGGGAGGTCTTATTAATAATCAAGGCAATCCAGACTCTTCATTTTCTCAGTGCATCTCGTATTCGAGTTAGCTAAATTGTCCCAAAGCAGTCTGAAATCGCCAGATGAGTTTTCATTTGTATAAAGCTGTGCCACACAAGTAGTTAGAAAGCTGATGAAGCAGCAATGATCACCATCTACTAACAGCAAATGAATGAAAACCAGACTGACCTCCAAGAGCATCGTTAAGATTGTCCTATTGAAATAAGTCTATTATTTCTGTGTTTCTAATAGGAATGATGAAACTTCTCCCAAGCCAATATGTCACTGGAATAAAACCACCACCAAACAAACAAAACCCCACTTTTTCTGTTCAAATATTTTTTTGATGGCAGCGACTGATTGGTGTTGGTGAGCACTTGCCTTTACTATGACTTAGTAGATGCTTTGAACTGTGGTGACACAAACAGTGCTTGTGCTTGTCTTCCAACCCAGGAGTGCACCTTCCTTTGAAATGTAAATGGAAAGTCAGGCTTGGGAGAGTTTTGTAAGAAGGTGTCACAAAATGGAGTGACTGCTTACCCTTGCAGATCTGGTGTAACCAGTGAAATTTCTTGTAAGCGTTGTCACAAAACAGCTTGTGCTCATATGCTTAATTCAATATACTGAAGGAGGAGAATTTGGCCTTCATTACTATTTCACCTTTGGATTTATTTTTCCCCAAATATGAGAAGAAATAAGAAGAGGTTTGAGATATTGACACTGGGAGCTTAAATGCTTTCGACATACCGTATTTCTTGCATACTAGTTATTTGTGCTACAGAATGGATATAGACCTGTTACAGTGTGGAATATATCCAAGTAAGAACAATTAGAGAGACTCCTGATTTGTCTTAAATAGTAGAGTATCTTTTTCAGCAACGGCATGAGCTCTGGAAGCTGCTCTGGTGCCAGTTACCCCTAGGAAAACAGGGAAATTCACAAAGAATCAACAGAGGAAATGGAAAGGTGTTGTGGGCAAATTATTATAGAATCATAGTACCATAGAATAGTTAGGGTTGGAAAGGACCTTAAGATCATCAAGTTCTAACCCCCCTGCTACGGGCCGGGACACCTCACACCAAACCATGCCACTCCAGGCTCTGTCCAACCTGGCCTTGAACACTGCCAGGGATGGAGCATTCACAGCTTCCCTGGGCAACCCATTCCAGTGCCTCACCACCCTAACAGGAAAGAATTTCTTCCTTATATCCAATCTAAACTTCCCTTGTTTAAGTTTTAACCCATTACGGTAAAGATGCAAATAAACAAGTGAACTTTGAAGTGATTCTGGCAATGATGATGAGTTTTTCCATGTCTGTGGGTGGTTTAATGTAACTGAATCATTTAGTAGTGATGGCATAAAACTAGGAAAAAGAAAAACTCTGCTTTCATGAATGTCACAGAAACTGTGGGCTGCAGCTGGAGAGGAGGAAGAGGTAGAAAATGCACCTGTAGTGACATGGGAGGAAGTAATAGGTAATTTGCTCCTAGGTTCTGTGATTAATCTGTTATTTTCTAACACCCCTGGTAATTCTTTTTTTCAGTGATTTTAATGATATCTGAGAAGTTCCACCCTGTCACTTCACGTGACAGTGAGCCTTACAGCTGGCTGCAAGGAATTAAATGTGATAATTAAAACACTGTGATATCATTCCAGACCCAGAAGTTTTGCACCAAAGAAACGCAGAAGAACTCAAGATCAGATTTTCACCAACTTGTGCTGTCCTCTGCTAAAAATACACATGAATGCTCTGTGTGTAAATGTCTCAGAAGGGATAAACCTGAGCATGCTGGGGCCTGCTCTGTGGCAGTATCATTCATGTAAACTGTTTCTCACGTGCTTTTAAAAGTAGTTGTGGTAGTACAACACCCCAGATAGTCCCAATAGAACAACTCCTCCTCTAGTGACCCCAGAGTAGGGGTAATTTATACAAGCGAAGGTTACCTTTTATCTGTATGACATAATCCCCATAAAAAAAAATGTCATTTAAGAGACATTACCCTTGCAGCAGTGGGAAAGTAACACCTTACTTGTATCACTGTAGAAGGATGGAGTCATTGTCTGTAGGTCAGTCCTGATGTCCTGGGCACATCTGCCTGTAGACAGGTGGCAATGGTGCTGCTTCTTCTCATCATCCACAGGCTGGGGGTGTCTTTCCTACAGCGGTGTCATCAGGAAAAAGCGTGAGATGGGATACAGGAGCCACAGGAGCTCAAACGCTTTTGCTAGACATGTATTTAGGGCACTATTATTAA